TGCTTCAAGGTGGTTCTTGGCTCCACATTGTCAAACGTTAGCCATGAGCCCAAGAAGAAATTCAGCACCTAGGCTCTGAGTTCAAAGTTCATGATGGAGAAAACTAAACCAAAACAGCTGCCTGCAGGAGACAAGTCACTGGAGGTCAGTATATGCATAAATTTGGCCCTGCCTTGGGGATATATCTGAGCCTCAACTTTCTCATCTGCACAGTCATCTTACTTGTGTAGCTCTTATAAGGACCAGATGAAAGTAAACAACTCATGAAGGACTCAGCACATAGCACACTGTGAAGGACCCAGCACACAGTACCCCATGAATGACCCAGCACCCAGTGAAGAACTCAGCACCCAGCATCCCAGGAAGGACTCATCACATAGCTTTTTCCCATAAACTGTCATTAGATTTAAGGTGCTTTAATCAGTATCACCACTCTTTCAGATACATGTCACAAACCTCACAAGTTTACATCTAACGGTTTAGAGGGGTGTTTTTTTGTGGGGAGTGTCATCAGCCTCGGTTATTGCACTCATAGGTTGGAGGTACTGTCCTAAGATATTTTCCTCAAGGCTAGAGCTCTACCACTTTGAGGCACAGCTCAGAGTCTCCCAGACTTCCTGCCAGGGCTGAGTTTTCAACCTACCAGTGTCTGATCTCATCCCCCGAGCAGCAAGGGGTGAGCCAGCAGCATCTGGTTCCATGGTTGACCTCTGGCTAAGTCAAGTTAAATGGCAGCCATGAGCTTCAGACCCCCAGCTTGCTCTATGATGAGGTATTTGAAATCCTGACCTTCTATACTTGCAGTCAGAACATTCTAATTTGTTTTTGGTGCCAGTCCTGGTGCTTGAGTAAGGGTCTAGACACAGTCCTTAAGCTTTCATGCTCAACTCCAGTGCACCACTGCTTGAGTGACAGCAGTACTTCCCGCATATTCTGTGCATGTGATAGTGTGGAATCGAACCCAGGGCTTCATACATACTAGGCGAGCACTCTACCACTGAGCCCCAGGAATGACAAGTGTAGAAATAGTATGTAGATTGTTACACATACACACATATATATACATATATATATACACACATATAGAAGTATATATGTAAAAAACAAGACAGAAATGTCTGTATATTAGTTAATTATATATACTATATTACTACCAATTTTCGATAAATTAGTCCTTCTTTTTTTAAGTATTATGATTGAATAAATAACAAAGTATTAATTGAAAATTAGTCAATGTACTATAATTATTGTGTATAATTTTATAATATAATCATACACTAACTACTAATGTAATTGTTACTTTGTAACATTCCGTTCGTATGGATATATATATATCAGAATGAGTTTCTTAGAATCTACTGCCATTCATAGGTGGCAGTCCTGGGATTCGCACACTGGGCCTAGGTTGCTGATTTTGGCTATACCTTCCCTGATAGCCCACTAAACTTCAGCAGTGCAAGGTCATGTACACTTTCCAGGCCCTGTCATTTAGAACTAGGATGGTGTTAATGCAGAGGAAAAAACAATGTAAAACTGCCTTCTGGGACTTCCCAGTTTTATCCTTCTCCTTTATTTCCCTCTCTTTTTCCTTTTTTTTCAGTTTTGGGGCCAGAACTATGGGTCTGGGTGCTTTCCCTCAACTCTTCAACTCAAGGCTATTGCTCTACCACTTGAGCCATAACACTACTTCCTCTTTTTCTGCTTATGTGGTGCTGAGGAATCGAACCCAGGGCCTTATGTATGCAAGGCAAGCCATCTATTACTGAGCCACCTTCCCAGCACTTCTCCTTTTTTTGCCAGTCCCAAGGTTTGAACTTGGGTCCTAGGATCTCAGGATGGGCTGTGGGTCCTGAGGCTGCACACTAGCCTAAGATGATCGAAGCTGAGACAGAGTTGCCATGAGCTGAGTTCAAGCCCCAAGCACGGCCAAAATAAAATTAAGGCCCTGGCTTGGAATTTGCACCGATTTTCTGGCAGGCCTGGAATTTGAACTCAGGGTTTGGGAAACTCTGTGGCACTGTGGGGGAGAGGAAGACAAGATTTTCAGCCTAGTTCGTAGGGCCCAAATTCAAGCCCCAGCACTGAAAAAAATAATATCTGTATATGAGATCTATTTACATACATGGGTTTAATCCTTATGACATTTATTACCCTTATTTTTATTTTATTTAGTAATATTACATATATAGCATCTATTTCATTTATTACGTCTTATCACATGGATCTATTTGCATAAGGATTATACATCTTATTGAGACCAGGACTTTCACAGAGAAGGAAAAAAATGTCTCAAAATTGGCTTCTAACTCCACATATAAAATTTTCGCCATTCTGGGATTTGAATTTACAGCCCACAATGCCCAATTCATGAAAGGGTCTGTTGTAGAACAAAAGGCTTTGGCAAACTGAGCTGCTAGCCAGTTCTGAGGACCTGGGTACAAACCATAGTAGTGATTGATAGATATAGATATAGATAGATATAAATATAGATATAGATAGATAGATGTATAGTTTGCAATATATATGAGAGTGAGAATGTGAGGATATTAAATTATATATATTATGAATTATTATTAAATTATGTCTCCATTTAATGAAGTATCATGGTTGAATACTTATTAAAGCATTAATGTAAAAGGAGTCAGTATTCTTTAATTGGGAGAATCATACCATGGTGCTAGATTGGAAGACATAATCCACTACTTTTTGTGTGGCATTCTATAAGAAAATCATGAACCAGCTGCAAATTTAATTGTTACTTTTATAAGATTCCATTAAGCATTCACATGAACAGGAAAGATTTTCTCCAGATCTCCTTCCATTTGTAGGTGGCAGTCCTGGCATTCAACTCTAGGCCTGGGTAGTTTACTTCGAAATGCAAACCATTAGAATGACACTGTGACGATTTCAATTCGTCACAATGAAAAAAAAAAGAACAAGAAGAAAAGAAAGGCAGGTGTCAGAGGCTCCTGCCTGTAATTCTAGCTCTTCAGGAGTCTGAGAGGTAGAGAATACTTGTTTGAATTCAGCTGGGAAAGAAAGTCCACAGCACTCTTATTTCACAGGAATAAAAACTCACCATGAGTGGGGCTGTGGCTCAAGGAAAGAGTGCTACCCTTGAGCAAAAGAAGCTCAGGGACAGTGCCTGGGCTCATGATACAACCCCCAGACATGCCAAACAAACAAAGAAACAAAAGACAAGTAACTCCATGTCTCCCTGGGTATGTATGCATGCATTTCTATCGGTGAAGGTCCAGAGTCCCTATGATGAAAGGCACCCAGCTAGGAAATTTGCTTTGAATAGAATGATTTCATAGCACAGACAGTGTTTTCAACAAAGTGCATGTTCCGGGGCTCCCCTCACTGTTCCAAGGGAAGCCTGAGTTTTCTCCTCACCCCAGCCTGCTGGAGGAACTCTGCCTCTTTGTTGGAACAGGCAGACAAAAAGCTTGACTCCTGTACAGCTGTGTAACAAACAATTAATCCGGGGCAATTAGTGAGGATGAGTGTGGGCAGGCTTTGAAGGCCAAGAGAAAAAGACCTCTTTGTACCCCAAGATATCTTTCTCCCCAGTGCTCTGTTTTGACAGGAAGCCTTCATTTGTGCCACCTTCTGTGGCAGGCCAAGATCTCTGCACTCATCCTGTCTTTTTTAGACTATGTTTCCTTGTTGAAATAAATTGCTACAATTAATTCAATGGTCCTTCTGGCAGACAACAAGGGATCTGAACCTAATAAAATGATTCATTATTGGCAATGGTGCCTTCCTAGGTTTCTGGAAGTTTGCTAAATCTAAGCACATGTATAATATCACAATGCTTCCTGTCATTTAGGGTTGGTGAAGCTCATCATGTTTTGAAACCTTTGACTTCTCCTAGTTTGGTCCTGGGTGGCTATGTTTGGGGTTGAACAAAAGGCCTGGGTGCTGACCATGAGATCAGAACAGAAGCTCAGTGCTTTACCATTTGGTGTCACAGCTTCATTTCTGGTATCTGTGGTGTGTGTGTGTGTGTGTGTGTGTGTGTGTGTGTGTGCATGTATGTGTGTGCATACACTTGTCCTGGAGCTTGAACTCAGGACCTGAGCACTGTATCTGAGTTTCTCTTCTACAAAGATAGCACTCTACCACTTGAGCCACACAGCTACTTCAGGCTTTTTTTCTAGTGATGTGGTACTAAGGTATCAAACCCAGGGATTCATACATGCAAAGCATTCTACCCCTCAGACAAATTCCCAGCAGTCCACTTCAGGTTTCTTTCTTTCTTTTCTTGGAAATTGGAGGAGTTGAAGTGTAGTCCTGGGTGCTGTCCTTGAACTCTTCAGCTAAAGCCAAGCGCTCTACCACTTGAGCTACAACACACCTGCAGATTTTTGGTAGGTCACTGGAGAGAAGCCTCTCAAGGATTTTGCTGCCCACCCTGGCTTCTGGTTGTGATCCTCAGCTCTCAGGCTCTTGAGCAGCTAGGATGACAGGCTTGAGTCGCTGGAGCCCAGTTTTCACTTCAAGTTTCTAAGTAATGAATAGGAGATAATAGTCTCATGTGAACTTTTGTGTCTGGGATAATTTGGAACTGAGACTGTTACATCTCAGCTTGCTGAGTAGACAGGATGACACACCTCAGCTACAGACACCTATACTGTAACACTCTGTTGCAAGGGGGTCCTTGGTTCCATATGGTAGGATGCTAGCCATGAGCCCAAGAGGGTCAGTGGTTAGGCCCTGAGTTCAAGATCCACGACTGAGAAAAATAAACCAAAACAATTGTCTGCAGGAGACAACTCACTAGAGTTAGGTATATACATCCTTTTGGCCCTGACATGGGGATATCTGAGCCTCAAGTTTCTCATCTGCACATGAAAGACCCCAGACTCACTGGGATACTTTCTTCAACGGGAGGGAACCCCAAGAACCAAGACTCCAAGCCAGCAGCTGCAATAAGCAAGAGGAGTTTATTTGGCATTTGTGCAAAGGGGCTTTCTGTCTGAGGCAGACAGGAAGCCCTGAGCAGCCATTACAGGCACTTTTAATGACAAAAGCCACAGGATTAGCATAAGACCCCAGGTTCCCCAGGATTGGCTCAGTTTACTACACGGAGAAGTTTATAACACTCTTTGTAAAACAGTGGGCTCAGGGCAAGTCTAGGGGGAGCGGTAACCCTGGAGGGGAATTTGCATAGTTACAGGCTTGTGATTGATTAACATTTGGCCTAGTTTGCTGGGCTCACCAGATGGTCCTTATCTTGAGCCCCCTAAACCGAGAATTTTTACACAGGAATGCAGAGGAACATACTCTTTGTTCCTTATCTTGGGTCCCATTTGGCCATTTGGGGAATTTACTTGTTAGTTTTTTTTTTATTTACGACTACAGAGCTTGTCCCAGGGCCGACATCTAGACTCCGAAACTTTTTATTTATCTCCAGGGAGGGGAAGGGTCAGTGCTAGCGCAAGCAAGTTTACAGAAGCAAAACCAGCAGTTAGCAATTGTAAAATGTAACTCTAATTTTTAATCTTTCACACAATCATCTGACTTGTGGAGCTCTTACAAGGACCAGATGAAAGAATGTACCCAGTGAAGGACTTAGCACACAACACCTCATGAAGGACTCATCACATAGCTCTATCCCACACACTGTCATTAGAATTAGGGTGCTTTCATCAGGATCACCATTCTTTCAGAAACACATCACAAACTACACAAAGTTCACATCTAATGATTTAGAGGGGTGGGTTTTATTGGATAGGTAGAGTCGGCCACAGGAATTGCATTGAAAGGTTGGGGATACTGTCCTTAGATCTTTTGCTCAAAGCTAGAGCTCTACCACTTTGAGCCACAGCTCAGAGTTTCACAGATTTCTTGCCAGCACTGGGTTTTAAACCCACCAGTGTCAGATCTCAGTCCCCCAGGATCTTGGATGATAGGGTGAGTGGGCCAGCAGCATCTGGTTCTGTGGATCTGAGTTGCAACAGTTTATCGCTGGCTAAGTCAGGTTAGATGGCAGCTGTCAGCACCAGACTCCTGGCTTGCTCTGTGATGAAGTATTTGCAGTCCTATCTTTATATAGTTGCAGTCAGAACATTCTAACTTTTTTTGGTGCCATTCCTGGGTCTTGAGTAAGAGTCTAGACTCAGTCCCTAAGCTTTTATGCTCAAAGCTAGTGCTCAGCTGGTTGAGCAACAGCATGACTTATGGATTTTTCTGTGCATGTGGCAGTGAGGAATCGAACCCAGGGCATTATTCATATTAGGCAAGCACTCTAATACCGAGCCCCAGTAGTGACAAGTGTATAAACAGATAAATGTGTAGATTAGTACATAGATAGATAGATAGATAGATACACAGACAAACAGACAGACAGATAGATGTAGATGCATGAAACAAGAGAGAGATGTCTGTATACTATGAAAATGCATATATGATATTACTACCTATTATTGGCAATTAAATTATGCCTTCCCTTTTTAAGTATCATGATGGCATACATAATAAAGTATTAATTGGAAATTAGTCATGGTAGTATAAATGTTGTATAAAATTTTATGATATAATCAAACACTAACTACTTATTTAGTTGTTACTTTTATAACATTCTATTTGTATGGATGTACTTGAGAATGGGTTTCTTAGAATCTCCGCCATTCATTAGTGGCAATCCCAGGATACGACCTCCACACCTAAGTTGCCAGTTTCATCTATGGCTTCCTTAATAGTCCTCCAAACATCAGCAATACAAGGTCAAGTACTCTTTCTTTGCCTTGTCATTTACATCCAGGATGGTCACAATCCAAAGGAAAAAAAAGTAAAACCAACTTCTTGAAGTTCTCAGTTTTATGCTTCTCCTTTTTTTTTTTTTTGCCAGCCCTAAAATTTGAACTCAGGCCCTAGGATCCAAGGGTTGGCTGTGGCAGAGGTGCCAAGACCTGAGAGCAAGCCCTGTGCTCGGCTAATAATAATAATAATAATGCCCTGGTTTGGAATTTGCACTATTTTTCTGGCAGGCCTTGTATTTGAACTCAGGATCTGGATAACTTTGTGGCACTGTGGATGAAGGGGAAAGGCTCACCATCCTTGAAGACAAGAAATTCAGACCAGTTCCCAGGGCCTGAAATGAAACCCCAGCACTGGAAAAAGTAATATTAATATATCAGATCTATTTACATACATGGGTTTAGTGCATATTATGTTTATTACCCTTATTTATTTAGTATTATTACACATATAACAGTTCTTTTATCACATCATATCACATAGGATATATTTGCATATGGATTATACATCATACTGAGACCCAGGACTTTCACAGAAAAGGAAAAAAAAGTGTCAAATTGGCTTCTTCCTCCACGAATAAATTTTTGGACATGCTGGGATTTCAACTTATGGCCTACAATGGCCAATCCATAAATGGGGTCACACTCTTAGCACACCAGCCTCTAGCAAATTGAGCTGCCAGAAAGATCTGAGGACATGTGATCAAGTCACAGTAGTACCCAATATAGATAGATAGATAGAATTGATCGATAGATAGAATTGATTGATAGATAGATAGATATGTAGGTAGATAGATAGATAGATAGACTTGTATATATATATATATACATATATATATATATATGAAGAGAGAGAGGGAAGGTGAGGATATTAAATTATATATATAAAATCAATTATTAGTTATCAAATTATGACTCCATTTAATGAAGTATCACCTTTGAATATTTATAAAAGCCTTAATTAAAAATTAGTCAATATCCTTCCATTAGGGGAATCATACCATGGTGCTAGAATGGAAGATATAAATCCAATAATTTTTATGTGGCATTCTAAAAAAGAATCATGAATTAATTGCAAATTTAATTATTACTTTTATAACATTCCATTAGCATTCACATGAATAGGAATGAGTTTGTCAGGATCACCTTCAATTTGTGGGTTGCAGTCTTGGCATTCGAACTCCAGGCTTGGGTAGTTTTCTTATAATGCAAACCATTGGAATGACAGCGTGAAGATTTCAGATTGTTATGATTACAAAAAAGAACAAGAAGAAAAGAAACCCAGGATCCAGGGGCTCCTGCCTGTAATCCTAACTCGTCAGGAGGCTGAGATATAGAAAATGCCAGTTTGAATTCAACCGGGACAGGAAAGTCCAAGACATTCTTATTTCTAAAAGATCACAGGAAAAAAACAAACAAATGTGAATTGGGCTGGCTCAAGGGCAGAGCATTACCTTTGAACAAAGGAGCTCAGGGACAGGGTCTAGGCTTATAGTACAAACCCAGGACTGTCCCCCTTCCCAAAAAGAGGCAATAACTCCATGTCTCTGTGTATGGATGGGTGATGGATGGATGATGGGCATTCAGCAGGTTGCCCATGCCCAGCCCTCCAACCTGGGCAAGCTGGGACAAGACTTGAATTGTACTAAGTCTGAGCCGGCAACTTGAACATAGCATCTTTTTCTGCCATTTAATAACTGAAGCCCGATGGGACACCTAGCAGCAAGCCACTGCCTCCAGGGAGACCACAGTACCTATACTGTAGGAGTTGTCAAAGTTTCTGGCTCCATATTCTCTATCCCTCTGTAGAATGTGAGACTAGACCTCTGGGGCATGGTGGCTATCACTTATTTATCATTCCTCATTGCTGAGTCACAGGCTGGTCCCAAATCATGGCAAAGATATGAAATAGTCAGCAATACCTATGCCGAAAGGGGTATGCCAATCAATCTCACCCTCATAATTCCTGTTAGAAGTGAGCCTTGGTCTGTGAATGTGGCTTAGTGGTAGAGTGCTTACCTAGCATGCACTAAGCCCTGGGTTTGATTGCTCAGTACCACACAAACAGAAAAAGCCAAAAGTGGCACTGTGGCTTAAGTAATAGAGTGCTAGCCTTGAGGAAAAGAAGCTGAGAAATATGCCCAGAACCTGAGTTCAAGCCCAAAGACTGGGAAAAAAAGTGAGCCTCGTGAGACATATTCTTCTGGGACTTAGAGGAAGACCGAGGTTATAGGTAAGAGGTAGGGTAGACGGCAGTTGCTGATGGCTCACCACTGTAAGCTACTCAAGAGGCTGAGATCTAAGGTTCCCAATTGTAAGCAGGAAAGTCTATATGAGACACTTTTCTCCAATTAAACATCCAAAAAGCCAGAAGTAGAGCTGTGGCCCAAGTAGTAGAGTGCTAGCATTGAGCACAAAAGCTCAGAGATAGGATAGCATCCAGGCCATGAATTCATACCCCAGGACTGTCATGAACATGTGCACACACACACACACACACACACACACACACACACACACACACACACACCAAGATAGAGCATTTACCAGTCAGCCTGCAAAAGTGTCATCTCTAGCAACTCAATATTAGAAAAAGGGAGAAGGGAAGGAAAGACTTGCTCCACGAGGTGATATAACCAGTGCAAAATTAAACAGGAGTTCTAAGATGTGGATTCAGGAAAGAGGGTCTCAGTCAGAAGGTCCAACATGGACAAAGGTCCTGAGGCATGTGTAGAGCAGATGGTGTGGGTGGGATGAATGTTCTGTGGCTTCAGACAAGTCTGGGAGGACATTCAAGGCTGGGTCAATGTTTGTACTTGAGTCACAGGTAGGGTACATGGTCAGGCCCCAGAATGGGGCCCAGGGGGAAGATTAGCTTGCTTTTTACCAGGTACCCCAGCCATTTCCTGTGGCTGGAAGGTTATTTTTCACAACTCTTGACCATCAGACCTCCTTTGCATGGAGGAGTCAAGGCAAACACAGGGAACAAACTTACTTAAGAAAAGCTTCTAGCCCAATGCCACCAGTGGCTCAACCCCTGTAAATCCTAGCTACTAAGGAGATTGAGATAGAGATCGTGGCTCAAGCCAGCTCAGGGGAGGAAAGTTAGTGAGACTCTTCTTGCTAATTAACTGCCAAATGCCAGAAATGGAGCTGTGGCTCTAGTGGTAGAGTGCTAACCTTGAGGTAAAATCTTAAGAGACCAGAGGCCAAGCCTTGAGTTCAACCCTGCGTACTGGCACAGATAAAATACAGAAAAGTTTTCAGGAGCTCCTAGTCTATTGGGGTGAATGGCTAGATCAGCCAGGCACCGGTGGCTCA